AAAATTATTTTTATGGGGAATAAATGTCTGTCAGGTAAAACTGACAGATGCCTACCACATTATGCCCAAAACAGAATAATGGCAGTTTGCCTCAATTTGTGTTTGTCTAATTTCTAATCATTACTAGATTGAAGTTATGCATTTTTGGCAAGAATGCCACAGAAGTGATATGTCCTTCTCAGTGTATCACATTAAAGGGTACATGATGTCAATATGTCTTATTTCTGGTTATGTTAACTTTGATCACTTCATTAAGATGATATCTGCTGGATTTATCCACTATAAAGTATTCTGTTTCTTTTTGTATCTTGGGGGAGATACTTTGAGACTATGCAAATATCCTGTTTCTCCTCACACTTTTGTCTGGTTTCAGTTCCCATAGGTGGATCTTGCCTGTAACCATTATAATGATGATGTTCTAATGATGGTTTCCTATCTCCCACTTTTCTTTATATTTATGAATTGGGATTAACTGATAAAGAATAACAGTTTCTTTTCCTGTATTTATTTATTCACTCATTATATGTTTTATTCATAGATTATTTTATTCTTTGGGTATAATCCATTATTATCATTTATTTTTTTGCTTACTTATGTATGAATAATTTTAATATAATGAAAATTTTATGTGATAAAAATATTTTTATTTTATGTAATTGTTTAAAGTTTTTGTTGTTTGTTTTGTTTTTTCTGAGTTGAGTCTCACTCTGTCACCTAAGCAGGAGTGCAGTGGCATGCTCACTGTCATGGCGGTCTTGACTTGCTGGGCTCATGGGATCCTTCTGCCTCAGCCTTCTAAGCAGCTGGAACTACAGGCTTGCACCACCACACCTGGCTCATTTTTTGATTTATTGTAGAGACAAGGTCTTGCTAAATTGCCCAGACTGGTCTTGAACCCCTGAGCTCAAGCAATTGTCTCACCTCTGACTTCTAAAGTGCTGGAATTACAGGCATGAGCCACTGCGCCCAGCAATAGTTTATTTTTTATTTTTTAAGTTCGAGTCCCACTCTTTGTCGCCCAGGCCGGGGTGCAGTGGCACGCTCATGGCCACCGCAGCCTTGATCTGCTGGGCTTAGGTGATCCTTCCGCCTCAGCTTTCCAAGTAGCTAGAACTACAGACGCACACCACCACGCTTGGTTAGTTTTTGTGATTTATTGTAGAGACGAGGTCTCATCAAGTTGTCCAGGCTGGTCTTGAACTCCCAGGCTCAGGCAATCCTCTTGCCTGGCCTCCCAAAGTGCTGGAATTACAGGCTGAGCCATTGCATCGCCCTTTTTTTTTTTTTTTTTTTTGAGTTGGAGTCTCACTCGGTTGCCCAGACTGGAGTGCAGTGGCCGCTCCCGGCCACCGCAGCCTCGACCTGCTGGGCTCTGGCGATCCTTCCGCCTCAGCCTTCCGAGTAGCCAGAATTGCAGGCATGCGCTACTACGCCCAGCTGATTTTTTGATTTATTGTAGAGATGAGGTCTCGCTGCCCAGGCGGGTCTCGAACCCGCGGGCTCAGGCAATCCACTCACCTCAGCCTCCCAAAGGCGCGGGATTTACAGGCTGAGCCACCGAGCCCGGCTCATTTTTTTTTTTTTTAAACAAAGAATAATAGTTGATTAGTGATGACTATTCAAGCATTAAAGTCTTTATATTCACAAGGAAATCTATACAAGGTGTGACTTTTAAGCATCATGATTTGTTGGATGTTTTTAGACTTAGTAGAGCACTTGTAGGTAGCAAGTTTGGAGGAAAATTGAACATTGAAATTCTACAAATAATTGACAAGTACTCTTCAGAAGTGTCATGAAAAACAGGGAAAGACTGAGAATCATCACAGAGAAAATGAGACATGACAACTAATGCTGTGTTGGATACTGCAACATAAAAAGGACACTAGTGGGAAAACTAGTAAAATCCCAGTAAAATCTGTAGTTTAGTTAGTAGTATTGTGCTGTGCCAATGTCAGTTTTGATGATTGTACTACGATTATATAGGATGTCAGCATTAGGGAACGCTGGATGAAGGGTATATGGGAACTCTGTACTACTATTTTTGCAACTTATCTTTATCTAAATATTTTTCAAAGCAAAAAGGTAAAAATTAGTTACATATTTACATATTTAAAAGGAATGTTTATTTCTGAGTTTCTATATATGTGATTATTCTCAAGGGTGGTGATCAGCTGTATAACCTTTTTTTTTTTTTTTTTTTTTTTTTTTTGAGTTGGAGTCAAAAGCTCAGGTGATCCTTCTGCCTCAGACTTCCAAGTAGCTGGAACTACAGGTGTGTGCTGCCATACCTGGTTAATTTTTTTTTTTGGTAGAGATGAAGTCTCATCACTTTGCCCAGGGTTCTTAAAAAGAAAATTCAACATAAGTATTCTTTCTGGTAATTTCAATAACAGCTTTTTCTTCTTTTTGCAGTTTTTTTTTTCTTTTTTAAGTCATTGGGTTATGAGGAACTTAGTAGGCAGAAATTGTAAGACAATCAAAATGAAATTAACATCCCTAGCTATTCACTGGGAATATGGGTCAAAAAGGAAAGGTGTGCTTCAGTGCCTGCATACCTTTCAGTATCTACAATAGACTCAAATGTTGGTAAAATTCTTAGGAACATTAGTTGGAGTTCATTATAGTTGTAATGAGAAAAAAATATTTAAATTGCTTTTAGGTTATAGAAAAAAATTATCTTGGTATATTGATCACACTACTTTTTTTTTTTTGAGTTGGAGTCTCACTCTGTCGCCCAAACTGGAGTGCAGTGGCCGCTCCTGGCCACCCTGGCCTCGCCCTGCTGGGCTCCGGCGATCCTTCCGCCTCAGCCTTCCGAGTAGCCGGAATTACAGGCACGTGCTACCACGCCTGGCTGATATTTTGATTTATTGTAGAGATGAGGTCTTGCCTGCCCAGGTGGGTCTCGAACCCGCGGGCTCAGGCAATCCACTCACCTCAGCCTCCCAAAGGCGTGGGATTACAGGCTGAGCCACCGAGCCCAGCTGATCACACTACTTTTAAATCAGTTTTTATTTTAAGAAATCAAGACAGGTTGGGCGCAGTGGCTCACACCTGCAATCCTGGCACTTTGGAAGGCCAAGGCAAGAGGATTGCTTGAGCCCAGGAATTTAAGACTAGCCTGAGCAGCACAGTAAGACACTCTCTCAACAAAAATAAGAAAAATAAATAAAAAATTAGAAAGGCATAGTGGCATATGCCTGTAATTTCAGCTACTTGGAAGGCTGAGGTGAAAGGATTGCCTGAACCCAGGAGGTTGAGGATGTGGTGAGCCATGATTGTGCCACTGCACTCCAGTTTGTGAAAGAGTGAGATCCTGACGCGAAAAATAAAATAAAATGAAATAAAATAAAAATCAAGTCAAAGTTAATACTAGATTATGTTCAGTGGCATAAAAAAGCTGCAAACACAAGAAGAAAATAGAGACTACATTTTCTTTTTAAGTATCCATGGATCATACATGAACATTGATAATCTATTGGACCAAAAGAAAATATCAATTTCAATAGGTAGAAATATTACAGACATTTTATGAGTATAATACAATAAAGCTGAAAATTAATTACCAAAAATTTCCCCTAGTCCTGTAGATTAAAATCAATAGCATCTATGATGTCTTCGTGTTAATTAGAAAATGTACACTTTTTCCAGCAAAAAGACCAACATTTCTGTATCTGTGGATCATCAATGATGCTGGCTCTGAGCCCAGTTGTTCTGAGACCCAGGGAAATTAAACCAAAGTGAGTTGGTAGCCATGGAAGAAAAAATACACACACATTTCTCTTCTTTAAGGGGGAGGGGCGAACCAATTAAGTATGAATTTTTCCTTAAGTTTGGAAGCAAACTTTTAGTAAAGTGCTCTTAGAAGATTTTTTTAAAATTTATTCATTTTTCCCCCCCTCTGGCGAGATTTTGAAAGCCAACAAAAAGTCATACACAAGAAACATTTTCTTTGAATCTCATATTTTCAAGGAGCTGAGTCCTAAGGACAAAAAGACAAGAATGCACTAGATTTAATACATTTCTGCTATGTTTCTATCACCCACTATAGGATTTAGGTGTTTCAAATACTTTAGATAAATAATGTCATTTTAACAAGTTGCTGTGGAAAGTAATGATTAAAGTTTTACATCACCTGATATCAGTGGTTCAGGAGTAAACTTGCTAATCCTGTCTTTTAAGGATGCTTGTATTCAAAACCAAGAAAATTCAAAATTTGTGATTGTGCTGTTAAATGACCATTCAGATAGTCTTTTCTTACTGTAGTAGAGTTTTTTTTGAATGGAGGGAGTCCTGACATTATTTTCCTAAAATCACAAAAGGTGCAGCACTTTTTGGCTTCTGTTTTATATGGATGATTTTCTTTTATAGTAGCATCTCTCCTACAATGGGAACAATGAGGTCTCCAGATATCTTGAAAGAATGAGGACCTCACCAGGGAGGACTGCTCTCAACTGTGCCCATAGGCAGTACAGAAACATACTCCAGTTGAGGGTAGAGTTGTAGAAGGTAGAGATGAGGTGAAGAAGTAACTGAATGCAGTAAGAATGAGAGCAATAGTAACTTAGAAAACAGGGAGGGGAAGAACTGCCAGTGAGATCTTTCTGGAGTGAGAAGTAGGGGTAGCTCAAGGTTGATTTCAGGATTGAGTCACTGGGCAGGAGTTTATGAGGCTTCCATTGTGATGCAAAGCTGGCAGAAGCTGGGGATAGACCACAATGATGCAGTGACAAAATAAAGACTTGGTTGCTAGGGTCAGGGAATAAACACCAGGAACCTAGAGGAGGAGAGATGGACCCCTGCTCTTGGTCCCCTTTCCCCTCTCCCTCCCCTCCAGGCTGGCTGAGATGTCTCCTTCCCCCTAAACATCGTCTTCCCAATGTTAGTCCTTAACCCTGGTCTCTGATTTCACCTTGGTTCCAAATTTTCCACCTGTTTGCACAAAGGACCATCACCTGTCCTCCTGGAACTCTGAGATTTTTCACTTTCCTTGTGCCCTGATGGCCAGTTCTGCTCCATCTACTGAGATGCCCACACTCTCCGAAAGCCTCAACTCTACCGCTGATCTTCATCAAGAATCTTTGCACCCTAGGGTTATTGTTGCCTTATTCGAAATTGGATCACATCCCCCTTCCTCCTGGGGCTCTCTCCCTTCTCTAAAGAATTGTAGCCATCAAGTAACGGAACAAAAGACTGCACAGAAGTCTAACAACCTTTTAAAAGAAATTAAAGATGTTCTTAAAAATGTGGCGGGTTTTGAAGAGATCACGGAAGCAAAAGAAACTTTTGAAGAATCCGGTACTTCCAAAGGTGTGTCAGAACATAAAGAAAAAATTAGAGGGTGTGACAAAATTAATAAAATGATATTTAAAAACCTGCTAGTTAGTTTAGCCCCAGAGAAAGAACAGAATGCAAAGAAACAGGAGATGATATTGGAAAAGCAGAACTCCAAGAACGCAGTACAAGTGTTTGCAAGAGAATTGGTAAATCATTTAGATGAAAACTCCCTTAACAAAACTCAACAAAGTAAGGAAAAAGCAAAATACAGGCTCTTTGGTGTTCAAGAAGAAAATATGAAACTTAGAAACAACATGGAACAGCTACTACAGGAAGCAGAACACTGGAGTAAACAACACACTGAACTCAACGAACTGATAAGATCATATCAGGAATCTCAGACAGATGTAAGAGAAACTCTTGGAAATAATGTAGTCTGTTTCCAAACTCAACCAAATAATGAAGTGTCAGTTAAGCATGAGCTGGAGGAACAGGTGAGGAAATTGAGGCATGACACCTATTCATTGCACTTGGTTGCAGCTTTGCTGGAGAATGAATGCCATATCTTACAGCAGCGAGTAGAGATTCTCAAGGAGCTCCATCATCAGAGAGAGGGAACTCTGCAAGAGATACCAATTCAGATAAACTCTAAACAGAATGAGAAAGGCCAGAAGTCATCAGAAGCAGAGAAAGTAGAAATTTGTAAGCAGAATGTGCGAGAAATGGAGGGAAAAAAGACATTTCAGAAAAAAGACAGAACCTATCAAAGCCTGGATGTTTGTCTTAATAAGAAAGCTCACAACAACTGGTTCAATACTCATGTTGCAAGAAGGGTTCTTATGGGCAAAAAGAGGTCAGCCAGCAGCCTAAGACAGAAAATATCAAAGGCAAAAGAAAAGATGAATCTTCAAAAAACTACATCTAATACATTCAACTTCAAGCATGATCAATAACCAAACCTTAAGTAGGTTTGAAGGTTCAACTGAAAAAGAGCTATAGAATGAGAAGATTAACACATTACCCATTACTCAGTAGTTATGTAAGTTTGGCCTTTAATGACCATTGTGTCTATATCAAGTTTATAGCTTCCTACTTTACAATTTGCTTTTTTTTTTTTTGGTAATTCTTAAAGAACCTATGACACTTTAGTCAAGAGTGAGAAGTTGCAGGGGCCCAATTAAGTAAAAATCCAAATAAAAATCAGAATACTAAGGAAAGTATTTTTTTCTTTATCTAACCATTGCTTTGGGGTAAGGGGATTTCCAGGAGGAAATTATATAATGCTTTAATTGTGATCTTTTATTTAATTAATTTATTTATTTATTTTTGGGTTGGAGTGCAGTGGTAGGCTCACAGCCACTGCAGCCCTGACTTGCTGGACTCAGACAATCTTTCCAGCTCAGCCTTCCAAGTAACTTGAGCTACTGGTGTGCACCACAATGCATGACTAAATTAATTGTGATATTTTAAAGCTCACTTTCTTTTTTGGAGTCAGAGTCTCACTGTGTCACCCAGCCTGGAGTGAAGTGGCATGCTCAAGGCCACCACAGCCTCCACCTGCTGGGCTCAGGCAATCCTTCCACCTCAGACTTCCAAATAGCCAGAACTACAGGCTCATGCCACCATGTCCGGCTAATTTTTTGATTTATTGTAGAGATGAGGTCTTGCCAAGTTGTAGGCTGGTCTTGAACCCAAGGGCTCAGGCAAAATAGGTGTAAGCCACTGTACCTGGCAAAGCTCACTTTCTAAATGTATGCTTTTCTTTCCTATTATACACCAAAGGTTGGGATATGGTGGAGGAAAAAAAGAGTTTTGATAAACCACTCCTAAACAAATACTTTTTCTCTATGAATTTCCCCACTTACTGGCTCTACTTTTCCTAATGTTCATCCCTTGTTCCTCAACTTGTGAACTGTGGACAAAACAGGCAGCAGAGGCCCTTGGGAAAGAATCCCTCAACTTGTTTAGAAGAATAGAAATAGATTTAGATTTTGTTCTTTGCTGGAAAAATGTCTCCCATTCCTCCAGATGGGGACAGTATCCAGGGGAAAAAAAAGCAATGTCTTCTATTAAGGGAGTTGGGCTACTGATTCCAGAAAAAATAGAGCAGATGCATTTTCTCTTATTTTTACCATTAAGTAAGCTAAAAACCCTGGACAGTTTATATAAAACAAACATAAAAAGATTCTGAAAGGTGGAGAAAAGGAGACAGACTGGTCAGGGACCCTAAAACTCAAAGAACAACATGATGTTAAGTTCCCTGGGTTTTCTTTGTGCCTCTTGTATATCCTGAGCTAGGTGCTGGAGGAGCCCACAACCCAGAAATACTAATGCATGTAGACAAAAAATGCCCCCCATAAAGCCTGCTTTCTCTTGCCAAAAGATGAGGAAATGGACAGTCTGGCAAGACAGAAACCTTTTGACAAAAACTGTCCTAATTTAGTCAAGTTACATGGAAAACACATTTCCACCCAAGCCTTCATCAGCATATTGAGTGGAAAGTCTAGACTTTAAATTAGCCTGGTGGTAATGAGACACCTCCTCTACTCTTCTGGAATGATGCAGAGGAGGCAGAATGAGGGAGGGAGCCTAAGGTTCTACCGTCCATCTGATGGTAACAGGGTGTTGCCCCCTGTTGCCCCCAAGTGGAATGGAATGTCATATCAGTGGAAGACAGGGGAACAATGGTCTCAGTGACAGTGAGTTTCTCATCAGAAAACATGGAGGACAGAAGGAAGTCAATAGTTTTTAAGAACTGAAGGAAAATAAATGTCAACCCAGAGTTGGTCTTTTTTTGAAGTGGAGTCTCCGTCTCTCAGGCTAGAGTGCAGTGGCACGCTCACAGCCACTGCAGCCTTGACCTACTGGGCTCACGTGATCCTTCTGCCTCATCCTTCCAAGATACACACCACCATGCCCGGTAAATTTAAAAAAATTTATTGTAGAGATGAAGTCGTGCCAAGTTGCCCAGGCTGGTCTTGAACCCCTGGATACAGGCAATCCTCTTGCCTCACCTCCAAAGTGCTGGGATTATAGGCATGAACCACAGCACCTGACTCAGCATTGTTTTATCCAATGAAAATATCTTTCAAGAAATGAAAGTAAAATTGGTGAAGGAAAGCTGAAATAATTCGTCATTCTGTGTTGGAAGAGCCCATTTGGTCGCACAACTTATCTTCATTTTTTTCTCATTAAAGAAAATGAGTGATCTCTTCCATCCCAGACTTTGTTGTATTCCATTTCCAAACAGGAATTTACCTCAGGAGGTGCTAAATGGATGAGTGAAATGAGAAAACCCAACGTGGCTGAGCCAAACAATTACCTTTATATTTTAGCTCATTCATATGCATTACCTGAACAAATTTTGTCGTGTCACTTATCTGTCAAATATTAAGCGGATAATTTTCCAGTTCTAAAACTGAGGCATCATTGGTACCATCACAAGTTCACTGTAGGATTTTTAAAGTTTTGAGAGAAGCACAGCAATGTATAACACCTGTTGAACTGGGCTCAGAGGCTCAGCCTGTAATCTCACGCTTTGGGAGGCTGAGGTGAGTGGATTGCTTGAGCCCACGGGTTCGAGACCTGCCTGGGCAACTTGGCGAGACTTTATCTCTACAATAAATCAAAAAATTAGCCAGGTGTGCTAGCACGTGCCTGTAGTTCCAGCTACTTGGAAGGCTGAGGCGGAAGGATCATGGGAGCCCAGCAGGTCGAGGCTGCGGTGGCCGGGAGCAGCCACTGCACTCCAGTCTGGGTGACTGAGTGAGACTTCAACTAAAAATAAATAAATAAATAAATAAAATAACACCTGTTGTATACCACAGAGACTCGGTAGCTCATAGTTTTTCTTCTTTTTTTAAAAAAAACTTTTATTTATAGATATGGGATCTCACTATGTTGCTCAGGCTGGTCTTGAACAACTGGACTCAAACAAACTTTTTGCCTCAGCCTCCTGTGTTCCTGGGTTATAGGTACATGCCACTGCACAACAACATTAAATTGCTCAAAGCTCCATACCAAAAGTAAAATTTTCCACTAGTGCAAACTCAGTCACGTGGCCGCATCTATCTAAAATGATTGGGAAATGGGGCTTTAGGTGGACAACCATGTGCTCAGGCAGAAGGAAAAATTAATTTTGGAAGATTGTCAGAGTGTAGAGAAAATACGTGATTTTACACAGGAAGGGGTCTCTGAGCAAATGTTATGAAAACTTGAGATCCTGGACTAAAAACAAGCTTGGGAAGATGATTTACATCTGTATAGATAGTGAGAATGAAAGAGATTTACCTAATTTCAGAAATGAGTGTTTACATTTTAAGGTGAAACCTGGGACCTTAGAGACAGTTCTGGGTTGTAAAGCAGGAGACACTTGGTTATTTGACCCCTGGAGAGATTTATTTACATTCTAAGAGGATTGGAGTGAGAGGATCCTTTCCATCTTGCCTTTTAGGGGCAGAGGGTTTTTTTCTTCCCTCCTTTTAGAAATGAAGGCGGGCTCGTGGCTCAGCCTGTAATCCCACGCCTTTGGGAGGCTGAGGTGAATGGATTGCCTGAGCCCGCGAGTTCGAGACCCGCCTGGGCAGCGAGACCTCATCTCTACAAAAAAATCAAAAAATCAGCTGGGCATGGTAGCGCATGCCTGTAATTCCGGCTACTTGGAAGGCTGAGGCGGAAGGATCGTCGGAGCCCAGCAAGTCGAGGCTGCGGTGGCCGGCAGCGGCCACAGCACTCCAGTAAGAATTCCTCACTTAATAGTACAGACCTCGTTATAGGAAGTGACAACTATTTCTCATTGAGTCTCCAGGGATAAGAAGTGGGACAAGGGGATCAGCACATAATTGTATCATAATAATCTGTCTCCAATGCAAAAGCCTCATGTATGCATTTAGGACAAAATAAAGATGAATATTAAAAACCCAACAAAGGCCGGGTGCAGTGGTTCACGCCTATAATCCTGGCACTTTGGGAGGCTGAGGTGAGAGGATTGCCTGAGCCCATGGGTTCAAGACCAGCCTGGGCAACTTGGCAAAACCTCATCTTTACAATAAATCAAAAAAGTAGCTGGGCATAGTAGCGCACGCCTGTAGTTCCAGCTACTTGGAAAGCTGAGACAGAAGTATCGCCTGAGTACAGCAGGTCGAGGCTGTGGTGGCTGTGAGTGTGCCACGACTCAAAAAAAAAAAAAAATAGGTTCTATTATGAATGTAGTATACCACATGTTTTACATATTGGAAATACTGTAAAGATAACCTGAAATACTGCTCCCTACTCCATAGACCATATTTCTTTTCCATGTTTGCAATTTGTATTACTTTATCAATAATTTGATAGCCAACATTTTCCTGTTACAGCCCTTAGTAAAAGAAAAAGAGATTTCCACACTGAAACTGTATTGGGAAATCTTGAAAAAATTACATATTTCTTACCATCTGTCTTACCCTCAAATGGAAACTGCTATCTACACTATTCTATTCTCCAGTCACTGTGATTAATAAGGAATTGTGCAGTTCATATATACTCTTGACCAGATTTATGGTTCATGTTACCAAAAACAAAATTGTTGCTCAAAAAAATTATTTTAAATACAGAAATAAATCTCTTCTCTGTCAGACCCTCCAGATTTGGCACTGACTTTAATGTGTTGTGTGTGTAATAAAGTTATTCCCCTACCACAAGGTCATATTTGTTTTTGTTTTTTTTTAGTTGGAGTCTCACTCTATCGCTCAGGACGGAGTGCAGTGGCATGCTTACAGCTACCACAGCCTCGACTTTCTGTGCTCAAGCCATTCTTCCACCTCAGTCTTCCAAGTAACTGGAACTACAGGTGTGCACCACCATGCCTGGCTAATTTTTTTATTTGTTGTAGAGACGAGGTCTCGCCAATTCGTCCAGACTGGTCTCGAACCCCTTGACTCAGGTAATTCTCTCATCTCGGCCTCTCAAAGTGCTG